CCCCCTCAAAGCAAAAGCAAAAAGCAAGCAAGCAGTCTTTAATCATTAAAATACTTTGAGATTAAAGAAAATAAACAGAATATTATTTATACAACTACATAAACATTAAACAAACTACTAATAATTAACTTACTCTTGGATTCTGGACAGTAAATAATCATAATCTTTGCAGCTGTATAAACATAAATTATTTAGTACATATTATAACAATTTACTTATAATATCACGGAAATGAGTAAGGCGGCAACTCGCTAAGTCGAGTACAAAGATGGCCATCAATATCTATAAAAGCAAACACGACAATCAACACCGCCCTCAGTCATCCAGTAGCTCACCCGATGTTATATTTTTAATAATTTGTAAATTGTATATGTGTCGATTTTTATAAGTAGAATTAAATTAAATTTGCTGTAATTATTTTTACCAACTTGTTCTATCACAAAATTTTAATATACTTATCACTATTCTGGTCAGTCGACTTCAACAGTACATTGGATTATACAAGATACAGTTTTCTACCAGAGGGTTCTTCGAAAGGTAAGTAAAAATTATACATAAMAAATATTCTAATACATTTATTTATTTGGAAAGGAAAAACTCTCATACCTATCCCCCGTAATATATTTTATGAAGTGATGAGTTAAAAAATATATAATAATAATTTAACACTTAAAATACCTTTCAATACTATCATTTTCTTACTTCATATTTTTAACTCATTACACGTTGGTCACACTTACAAGTTATGACATTAATAAATTACACTTACGACTTGCAGTATAATATTTGATATTCTTGGAATTAAACAGAATCAAATTAAATTAAGTCAATATTCAATATGTTTAATATAATACTGATACTTAATATATTATAATAGGTTTAGAATTTGTTATTTATGTTTATCTGTTTTTAGTTTTATGTATAATGTATATTATTCTACACTAAAAATATTATTTAACAAAACATGCATGATATTTTGTGTAGTAGTCGTGTAGGTATATTAATTTTTAATAAATATTGATTGTTTAATATTATAATGTGGTTTCCTCTGTGRCAATCTCAGATTTGAGATCTAAATGTTATATTTAAATCCTTGCAGATTAAACWAGTTACTCAGTTTGCGAGTGTTACATTGGGGTTTTATATTAAAATACTACCTATAGTGAGTTAATTTAATATAATACTACAAATAAATGCTCTGTAATATAAACAAATTAATTTTATTTAGACCTATTGGATACTGATGAACCTCAATCCAATATTAAGCGTCGTGAAGTCCCTATAGTTTTGGAAAACTCAAGTTTTGAAACATGTGATTATAATTTTGTTTCATTAATCAAATAATTATATAATTTATAATATAAATTTATTTTGTTGGTGGCTAAATGACAGTGGGGCGGGGCCACGGGGGTGCCCGAGTAACCCACTGCTAGCTAGCTATATCACTGACTGTATGATTGCCTAATGCCAGTACATTTGACACACCAAGGTGTCGGTGGATGGCCAGAGTTAATGGAGCCGTGGGTCCGTCACCAAAGCGGTGGCATAAAGACAGAGCCGGATTAAGTACTTTGGGGGCCGTAAGCAAATTATTTAGATGGTCCTAATTAATTACTTAATAAATATAGGTAATRAACAGGTATATATATGAGTATATGAAGAATATTGTTTTCTATTAGATATATAATAGTCTTTCACCAAATTTAGGGGTGGGGGGGGGGTGATGAGTGAATACTACAAATAACAAAATATTATTATATTATATTACAAATGAATATAAAAAGATTTAACTCAAAACTATGATAAATTGAAAATTTTTATTTATAAAATATATTTTTAAATTATAAGTAAATACATAAATTATTATAACATTAGTCGCTGCTGTCATCGTCGCAACTTACAACTTGTTTATCAAAACATAATTCTTTTTTTCTGGATTTCTAATTTGCAAAATTTTGGATCACATCTTCAAAGTTTAGAGATTTTACAAATTCACTTTCAATACTTAAAATTCCAAGATTTTGTAG